AAATCAGGGTAAGTCGGAAAACCAGGAGTATCATCAGGACTTACCCTGATTTTCCTCCTGGTTTCCCGAATTACCCTACTGTTCCTCCTGGTTTCCCGAATTACCCTGCTGCTCTTCCTGGTTTCCCGAATTACCCTGATGTTCCTCCTGGTTTCCCGAATTACCCTGCTGGTCCTCCTGGTTTCCAAAATTACCCTGCTGCTCCACATGTTTCAGTTGACATTCAATCGGTAGACTAGGAAATTCAATGGTTCTAGCAAAGTCGTGGGCTCTGTTATCAATTTAGATGTTTTTTATAACAACACATTCTTTGAAACTGATTTGCGCAGTTGGAAAATGAGATAAGAGACATTAAAGTGTACAAAGAGATTACCTGGTCAATGCATACTTGCTAAACTGTCATTCACAAAGAATTGATTCAAATATCACTTGAATTTAGATGGTTTGAAAGGCACCACAAACTTACTGAATAGCCATTGACAGACGACAATGCCCTCAGGTGAGATGCGTTATAAGGAGATATGAGGAAGATGCCACGGAGGAGGTACAAAGCTGATATCAAAGATCCCGTCCAGAGGAGAAGTGTCTGGCTCAATACTTTTGATGCATCAGAAAAAGCTGCTAGGGCTTACGATACAGCGGCGAGGAGATATCACAGCCACAAAGCTGTAACTAAATTTCCGCAGGATAGCCTCAGAGATTTTCACGAGAAGTCTAGTTGTTAGAATGCCAGTGATGATAATAATGATAATTCCAATCATATGCTCCCAATTCAGACCAATGCTTTCAGGTCATCTTTCGAACAAAGCTACGGTGGCGCTAACAACGGTTGCAGTATTGTGCCTCTCAATCTTGAGATCACCCTTGCACTGTCAAAGAGCATGTGAAATCATCATCGATATTGAATGTACGACATTTCGTCAGTCCCTTTCCTCTTAATTTCCTTTGAAATTAAAAAAAATATAAAAGGAAAAAAAAACAATAAGAGAGAACCGGCTTCGTTTATTTCAAGAAATCTATGGATCAATTTTGATTCTTTCTTTTTCTCTTGATTCTTTCCAATCTTAATTCTCTTTTGATCGAGATGTATAGATCCTTGATTCTTTTCAGATCAAGATGTATAGACCCTCAATTATTTTCCAATTGAGATGTATAGATCCTTGATTCTTTTCCGATTGAGATGTATACCTTGATAGCGATGTATAGATTCTATTCATAGATCAACACGAAAATGTGAGTTGATGTTTGGTTGCGCTGAATCATCATTTTAATCCTCTGAATATCCATAAGAATGTTGGAGCTCTCTTCTTTTGTTGTTTGTTGTTTGCAAATAAGCTTCTCAAGAAATCTCTGGTGTTTTGGAGGTTATCTCGAGGAATGTGACCACGGTACCTCCTCGCCGCCAATTGTAAGCCCTAGCAACTTCTTTGGGTATATCAAAAGCTCCAAGTGTAACACTTCTCCTTTGGCCAGGATCTCTTATCTCAGTTGTGTACCTCCCCCATGGCATCTTCCTCACATACCCTAAAATGCATCTCACCGATTGGTTCTCCTTAATAGTTTTCCTCCTGCGTCATTTGAAAAAAATAGAAGAAATTTTTTATATGATGAGAAGAACAAGTGAGCTAAAAAAGACGAGGGAGAGCAGTTGATATAGACGTCTCTCAAGGGGATTTTCTTGATGAAATCGCCACCTGTTATTTATCCTCTGCGTTATCTGAAAAACAAAAGTAACTTTTTCTATGAAGAAAAGAATGAGTGAGCAAAAAAAGAAAAGGGAGAGTGGTTTCTATAGACAGCTTTCAAGGGGGGTTTGTGAATGTTACACGATATTTGAGTTGCTTATGAAAATATCTACTAAATTATTTTAAAATTAGAAAAATGACTTCTCTAAGGAAAATAAATTTCATTAATACATTCCAAATTCAATATTTATTGGATTATATATTTTGCTATATTAGAAGAGTGAGTGAGGATCTAGAATCAACATGATTGTTTATTGAAACTAAATTCAATATTGAGGAATTTTGGACTCTCAACAACATTAGGTAAAAGACATGTCATTTAGGCCTCATTTGTTTCATTAAGATTTAATCGTCTGAATCTGAATGCACATTAAAATGATTAAAGATAACATGACTTGAAATCACAAGGAAACAAAGAGAAATAAAGAATTTCAATACCATTATACACCAACTAGGGACATTCATAGCCCTATCTACACGTTTGCACTCACAACAAGCAAGGACACTATAATGGAATCCTACCTGTTGTTCAAGTTGAGCAAACCTTACTATGCTAAGTGCATCGAAGTCCAAAGAAGATATCTTCTTGCAACTCTAATCCCTCTAGTCCAAGTTTCTCAAGACTTAATGAACCTCCAGTCATCCTTGCAATAACACATTGAAGTTGTACAATATTATCCCAATAAGAGGATTGTGCTATGGGAGAATGGTCAAGAGGTTGAATAATTTTAAAAGGCAAATGCAGCATCGATCCAACCCAACAATGCCTTGCATCAGAAATAATTGTTGGGGCACATGCATCATGACTAGGTATTAGGAAAATAATCTTCCATGTTTCAGTGGGAAGGAAACCCTTGCCCATCCAAACTGAAAAATAGAAAAAGCCTTGTGCATCATTCCGACCTCTCCTCAAACACCTCTTTTTAAGATCATAGCTTATTAATCATGTATCAATGAACAAGTTATAATAATTATTAAAGCTTCTCGGCCACATAACAGGATAATTCAATAGAATCATAATGAAGCAAGCTTGGTAGGAGATAAGCAAATACCAAAGGGACAGAAGTGACTCAATGTCCTATAAGTAAACATGATACAAATTGGCTGCAATCGACATATTAGAATTTTTATGATTCTGTCAGCATATATTATTTCTACACATTAATAGAACACAAAACTCTAATCAGCTTGTGTGGTGAAATCTTTACAGGTTTCTGTCCTCACTTAATCAAATTGTCTGTCATGAGACAAGTGCAAAACCATACCGAAACTAGATCAACCAGAGCCAAAGAGTAAATTAACAAGCTTGATATCCAAGTAGAAACAGAAAGTGGTGTTGAAACTACTCATAGACAATTGCAGATTGTGATCACAGAGTTTAAAATCACCAAGATAGAGCTCAAATAAAACTTTAAAAGTTCCGATATTCCATGTTTACAGGGTTGAGTTTGTCAACTTACCAACAAGGAAAAGCTTTACTGTGTACGTCAAGCTGCAGGATTAGAGCAACCACTAATAGTCGAGCTCCAGCTGGTGTACCAGTCATACCAGTTCAACCAGAACTCTTTAGGAGAACCACCAAGTTAAACTCAAGTCTAAAATCCTCAAAAGAGCACCCTAACAGGAAAGTTGTTCACAAGGAAAACTTGGATTAAATTTCAAAAACAACAAATCCACGTAAAATTCCAAGGCCTTATAATTTCCAAATCAAAACACAGAATAATACAGCTACAACTGTAGATAGAAGAACTTTGTAGCATTCCACGAGAAAAAAGTATGTCAATGAGAGAGAAAAAGATGTTTTGCACAATCACTCAGATGTTCAGCTAAAGTAAACTGAATTTCAACTAGATCAAATTGAAGTTTAATCAACAAAAAAACTGAACAAGAACTCTAACTTGCACAATTACATCAACTGACATTAAGGGTAACAGCGATAAATTACCTCGAATAAATCAAAGGAGAGTAGCAAGTAACTGAACAAAAACATAGTGTGAATATCCCAAGCTGCAAGACTAGCGAGAGTTTAAGCAATTATTTGACTGCAATTATATTTATGCATAATGTTGGGAACAAAAAAGGACAAATCAAAAGGTGCAATTTACAATTATTTCTTTATTTCATATGAAATAAACCAATAAATCTGATCTCATATTAAGTTTTAATCAATAAGAAGACAGGCAAGGAAAAACAAAAGCTTGAGATATTTACCTTTAAGAACTCAAACATGTGCAGCAGTACTATACAACAACATACACTAGGAGGTAGAGAACCTATTTCGGATAGACCTTCGGCTCAAAAAATGAGGTTAGCTGAGCCTGTTATAGATACACTTATCAACAAGATCTCTAAGTTGCACAACTCTACATCAACTGGCATTAGGGATAACAAAAATAAATTCCTTGAACGCATCAAAGCAAACAGCAAGTAACTGAACAATAAAGACAGTGTGAATATCCGAGTTGCAAGACTAATGACAATTTAATCAATTATCTGACTGCAATTTCATTAACTAAAAAGACTGAAACAAGAGGTGCAAATTGCAATAATTTCTTCTCATATGAAATACACCAACGAATTAAATCTTAGGTTTCAAACCAATAAACAGACAGACAAAGAAAAAAACAAACTTGAGATATTTACCTCTCAGAAATCATAAATATATTCACCTCTCAGAAATCAGGAATGTGCAGTAAAACTAAAATTTCAGAAAAGTAAGAAACGGAGTTGTAGATAAGCTGGTTCTGTTATCAACTAAACTTGAAAGCTTTCAAGAGCAATGCATACTTCCTGAAATGTTTTCAATCAAAAAGAAATGATCAAATCATCAATTGAATTTAGATGGTTTCAAAAGCAACACAATACTTATACAGTAGTCATTATAAAAATCAACGGAATGTACAAACCAAACTTACTTCTACGCAGACAGGCAATGAAAAACACAAGCTTTGAGATAATTACCTCCTAGAACTCAAATATGTGCAGCAGAACAATATACCTCAGCTCAAAAAGTGAGTTATTCAGGAAAATATTGCACAGCAAAACAAGATGCAAACTGTAATTACAGAAAAGAGATCCCCACACAACAAAATCAAAGAAAGAAAAAGCATAACTTTTTTAAAGGCAACACATACTAAATTTAGATGGTTTGAAAAGCAACACATATTTAAGAACAAACCAAACCTGACAAAATGAGGGCATCCAACAATAAAAGTGTAATATAAATCAAGAAGAGAACAAATGCAATTATTACTCGAAATACAATCTCCTTCCATTAATTGTTTGTGTAACAAGGAATTACAATATCGAGATCATATAAACAAACAAAAAAAGTAACCCAACTTCACTAAAAACCAAATCTACAACCACTAACCAACACCCTAACCTCCAAATCCGTAAAGGGTCCTTCCCTGCCTCTTAAGAGCATAAACAACATCCATAGCCGTCACAGTCTTTCTCCTAGCATGCTCAGTATATGTAACAGCATCACGAATCACATTTTCAAGAAAGATCTTCAGAACTCCACGAGTTTCCTCATAAATCAATCCAGAAATACGCTTCACACCACCTCTACGAGCAAGCCTACGAATAGCTGGCTTGGTAATACCCTGAATGTTATCTCTTAACACCTTCCTGTGCCTCTTAGCTCCTCCTTTGCCTAATCCCTTACCTCCCTTACCACGGCCCGACATTTTTCAGGGTTTTGAAATTGAATTTTGGAAGATTGAAAGAGATTATAAGCTGTGAATTTAATGAAGATGATCAGTTTGCGGTATTTATAGCTGCTGATTTTGTGGATCGGCGTTTGTGTTAAATCGTGATCGTTGGTTTTGGGGGCTTTGGATTGAAGATCGACGGATATGAGTATCGGTCCGCGTGGGAGGACGACATTAAATGTGAATCGTTGATTAGAAAGAGATCAACGGTTGATAATGTTTTATTATGTATTGACGCAGATTGTGCTTTTTAAGTTACTTTTAGCGGAAAATGAAAATGTGATTTGTGAAAGTTCCAAATTATTAGGCGCCTAAAAAATTGGGAATTAGTTATTACTGTACTATATAGCAAGAAATTTTGTGGATTGATTTAAAATACTTAAAATCTCTTTTAATTAATATTTTCTTAAGAGGCATGTTCTAGAGAAATACATAATTTGAGTTGGAAAGAATAATTAGCTATTAGTGCTCCATAAACGTAATTGTCATAAATATGGACTTAGCATGTTGGGTTGGCTCATCCTAACCTGTGATTTTGATACAATTGAGCTAAGATTTTTTTTAGTTCATTGAAGATTAGGGCTTTTTAGCCCCGCCCAGATAAGCTTGATATCTTGTACATTGTGAGCAATTTAGATTAGACCGGTTTGTGGGCCAAATAAAAAAAATTAAAAATATAATTCTAAAAATAAGTAAATAATAAGAGAAATATAAACGCAAAGAATATATATATCAAGTTAATATTTATATTTATTGATAATATTTATATTTAACTAATTGTATTGTTACTCATTAACTGATTAATTTGCTTATTAATATCTTCAGAAAAGTATTGAAAACACTTATGAACTCGGCGTATTCATCCCCAAACTATTGACAATCTTAAAACACACTCTTTTTACTTTACTAATTGAACTTAAAATACACCCTCGATTTGCCACATGACATAGCAAGTGGTCTCAAACTCTTTTAAGATCGTGAAACTCTTAATAAAAAGTTGAGAGAAGTTTGAAGCACCCCTAACATGACGAGAATTTAGAGATGTGTTTCACTCATGTGGTAAGATCAGGGGTGTATTTAAGTTCAGTTAATCAAGTAGAGGATTGTTTTTAAGACTATCAATAGTTTAGAGATGAAATTAATAATTTGCGCAAAATGTAGGGGTGTTTTTTATACTTCTCTCTAATATCTCTTTGGTTTGAGAGGTATCATGCTAAAAATTATTTTTAGTTGAGAAAAGACATAAATTACCCCCTAAACTGGTGCCGAAAAGTCAGTTACATGCTCAAACTATTGTGACTACCTATTACACACCTAATTTTGTTCAAAATGATATTAATACCCCCTTCCGAAGACAAACTCAATTGTGTGTAAAAAAAAGTGTTGTACACGCGTTTTCATACATAAATAATATTTATTTTAAATTTTAAAAACATTTATCTCTTGATATTTTCTTAAACTTTTGCAAAAGAACAAAGATTTGGGCATCTTCCTCCATTTCACCATACATTTCTCTTTTAAAATCTTTCTTGAAAATGCGCCCGTTTGCCCCTCGGGACGAATTGGGTCCATTGCTAAGGTCTTAACGGACGTCCATAAAAAAATTCGGTAATTTTTTTTCAAAAATTATCACAAAAAATTCATGGACTATAGCACACAAAAATTGACAAACTTTGCGTTTACCTGCTTTGGGGCTCGTTTGAACTTGAAAATGCGCTCGTTTTCCCCTCGGTATGAATTGGATCTATTGCTAAGATCCTAACAGACCATGAAAAATTGCGGCCATTGTCTCGGGAATTTCGGATCACAAAAAATTCATAGATTATAGCACACGAAAATTGATAAAATTTGGATTTACCTGCTTAGGGGCTCGTTTGAACTTGAAAATGTGCATGTTTGCCCCTCCGGACGAACTGGGTCCATTGCAAAGGTCTTAACAGACGTCCATGAAAAATTTCGGCCATTTTGTTTTGGAAATTCTGGATCACAAAAATTCATTGACTATAGCACTCGAAAATCGGTAAAATCTGGGTTTACCTACTTTAGGGATCGTTTGAACTTGAAAATGCACCCGTTTGCCCCTTGGGACTAACTGGGTCCATTGCTAAGGTTTTAACGGACGCCCATGAAAAATTTCGGTCATTTTATTTCGGGAATATCACCAAAAAGCCATGGACTATAGCACATAAAAATTGGTAAAATTTGGGTTTACCTGCTTTGGAGCTTTTTTGAACTTGAAAATGCACCAGTATGCCTTTCGGGACAAACTGGATCCATTGTTAAGGTCTTAACAGACGTCGATAAAAATTTTAGGCCATTTTGTTTCGAAATTCTGGATCACAAAAAATTCATGGACTATATAACACGTGAAAATTGATAAAATCTGGGTTTACCTGCTTTGGGGGTCATTTGAACTTGAAAATGCGTTTGTTTACCTCTCAGGACGAACTGGTCCATTGTAAAGGTCTTAACGGACATCCATGAAAAAATTTGGCCATTTTGTTTCTGGAATTTCGAATCACAAAAAATCCATGGACTATAGCATACAAAAATCGATAAATTTTGGGTTTACCTGCTTTGGAGCTCGTTTGAACTTGAAAATGCGCAAGTTTTCCCCTTGGGTTGAACTGGGTCCATTGCTAAGGTCTTAACGGACGTCCAATAAAAATTTCAGTCATTTTGTTTCGGGAATTCCAGATCACAAAAAATCCATGGACAGCATACAAAAATCGGTAAAATTTGGGTTTACCTGCTTTGGGGCTCGTTTGAACTTGAAAATGCCCCCGTTTACCCCTCGGGACGAATTGGATCCATTGCTAAGGTTTTAACGGACATCCATGGAAATTTTTAGCCATTTTATTTCAGAAATTCCGAATCACAAAAAATATATGGACTAGCACACGAAAATTGGCAAAATATGGATTTACCTGCTTTGGGATCGTTTGAACTTGAAATGCGCATGTTTTCCCCTCAGGACAAACTGGTCCATTGCTAAGGTCTTGACGGACATCCATGAAATTTTTTGGCCATTTTGTTTTGGGAATTCCGGTTCACAAAAAATTCATGGTCTATAGCACACGAAAATCGACAAAATCTGGGTTTACCTGCTTTGGGGCTCATTTGAACTTTAAAATGCGCTTATTTGCCCCTCGGGACGAACTAGGTCAATTGCTAAGGTCTTAATTGACATCCATGTAAAATTTTGGCCATTTTGTTTTGGGAATTTCGGATCACAAAAAATCCATAGACTATAACACACGAAAATCGGCAAAATCTGGATTTATCTACTTTGGGGTTCGTTTGCACTTGAAAATTCCTCCGTTTTCCCCTTGGGACGAACTGGTCCATTATTAAGGTCTTAACGGACGTCCATGATAAATTTTGATCTTTTTTTTTTGGGAATTCCGGATCACAAAAATCCATGGACTATAGCATATGAAAATTGGCAATCTGGGTTTACCTGCTTTGGGGCTCATTTGAACTTGAAAAATCGTCCTTTTTCCCCTCGGGATGAACTAGGTCCATTGCTAAGGTCTTAACGGATGTCCATGAAAATTTTCGGTCATTTTATTTTGGGAATTCTAGATCACAAAAAAATCCATGGACTATAACACACGAAAATCGGTAAAATCTGGGTTTGCCTGCTTTGGGGCTCGTTTGAACTTGAAAATACGCTCGTTTACCCCTCGAGACGAACTGGGTCCATTGCTAAGGTCTTAACGGATGTCCATAAAAAAATTCGATCATTTTATTTCGGGAATTCTGGATCACAAAAAATTCATGGACTATAGCACACGAAAATCGGCAATCATTCTCTTTCTTGGATTATTTTTCGATAATCTTCTCCGGTGAATCCTCCGGCGATTTCGAACGGAAAAATCATGAATTTAAGTTGAAAATTATTAACAGTGTTGGATGTGCTTCCATCAAACAATCAATGGTGACAAATGTTGTGATTTCTTAAGAATAAGAACTCAAAATTAAGAAAAATGTAAATGCTTTAAAGAAATTGGGGCCACCAATAAAAAGATTAAAAAAGAAATTTTTTTGAAATAATTAATATATTTATAAAAAAATTATAATACATAATTATTTAATGACCAATAAAATAGTGCCATGTGTTCAAAGTTTCTAACATATGAAGGTGAAGACACTTTCTTTGTCATGCCACATTTTGAGGGGGTATTAATATCACTTTGAACAAGATTAGGTGTGTAATAGATCACCGTAATAATTTAAGTGTGTAACTGACTTTTCGTTACAAGTTTAGGGGGGGATTTATGCCTTTTCTCTTTTTAGTTTCACATTAACTTTATGTCATCCAAGATATTTGTACAGTAATATCATGTAATGTTGTATGTATAACCAATGTACCGATGGATTGAGCTTGATGTTTTTTGGCTCACCGAAATAATGGGTCAACTTAATCTGTCTCGTCAAATTTCAGAACACGTATGGGGAAGCAAGGATGAACTAGCCGAACCATATTGAGGTAGGCCGAATGGACTGGCCAGCCCGTATTGACAGCTCTCACTACTGAAAATTGTGTTGATTTTAGTTGTACGAAAATGGTACTATGACTTTTGATTGTAACAAAAACTTAGTGTGTGTTTAATCGCATTAACTTAAAAATTACTTTTTTCCCCTATTTTTGTGTGTGTTTAGTAAATATTAAAGGTTCTTAAAAGTTAAAAGAGTGGGCATAAATATAGAAAAACTAAAAAATCATACCGAAATAAACTAATTCGATTATTCATTTTTTTTGTTTGATCGCAATGTTTTTTTTAATTAAAAAACCGATTCTTTGATTTGATGTTCGATAGAAGGATCTCGATAATTTGGTACACCAAAGAACCGAACTTTTATAAAATAATTTTTTAAAAAGAACCAATCTTTTGGTTCCCATCCCAACAATTCCTCAACCAAAAACCAAAAGTCAACTAGCAGAATAGCCATCCAGCAACAAATCAAAGCAATAGATTTGCAATTCAGTTAATTAACTTCAAATATTAATACATATTTTTGTCGATGTACATCATGTAAAGGAATCGTCTTCGTCCTTGTTTTTCCTCGAGCAGTAGTTAGAGACACAATGTTCTTAATAAAGATAACTATGGAATTTTCAGCACAATAGGTGTTCCAAGATGAGACATACCACTAGTTATGGTTTTAAATTTTTAAGTGTCTTATTCTTTAATTTGGTCTTCCTTTTATTTTTCCTTCACACCTAAAAAATCGTATTAAAAACATCGAGTCAAATCGAATCAAAGTTGAAAAAATTGAACCGATTTGATGTACACTTTTTCAAAATCGAAGAATCGAGTCGAAATTAATAAAACCGAACAAAAACCAAATGCCCACCCTAGTTAAAAGTATTACATGAATGACCATTTATAGAAGATTAGCAATAATGGACAGACTTGAAAATTGGGGCGTTCAAGTCTATAACATCAACCTTTCTGCAAAATGGTTGAAATTGTAAGTTTTACCAATTTTTATAACCTACTAGTTTCAAGTTGTGATAAATTTATGAAAAAACTTGTACTACCAAAGGCAATAGTGAGTTAATAAGTACTTCTGTATCCTCAATCAATCAGGTTTCTAAATGAATTCCGATCAATCAAACTCAAAGCAGATACCGAACACAAGTGACAAATCCAGAAAGAGAAATTGAACCACCAAATAGCATAAAAAATCCATCAGACAAAACTAATGGTGTAAGACCATATGATTATAAAAAGCAGTAAGCACACTTGACTGTCAACAAAAGAAACAGTTGGAATATAGCAGGAAATATCACATATTTTGGTTAAAAAACATAAAATAGTTTGCCAAAAAATGTATCAATGTTTATAAACTGTATGTATGATGTATTATATCTTCTTAGAGACCCCAAGCCTGAGTCTGAAATCTTCTTCCATTAGTGGAAGGCCATCGCGCAACTTGACTTTTGGTTCCCATCCTAACAATTCTTTCGCTTTTGTGATATCTGGTTTCCTTTGTCTTGGATCATCTGGTGTATTTTCCACCATTTTTATCTCAACTTTCGGACTGATAAGCTGCAAACACACAAAAGAATATATCAACTTATATGTGGATTAAACAGAGTGATTTTCCAGCAGGGGAAATACAAGTCGTGGCAAAATCTAAGTACACAAAGAGCAGCTACTTGAGAATATGTAATTACCTCCTTCACTAGTTCCGCAAGCTCAATCATGGTAAATTCACCTGTACAGGAAGATTGCCAGGAAAGTAGATCAACATAGTATTTCAAAACTGTAATTTAGCTTGAGCATGATATCGGGATTTATTCAATGAGTGCAGCACACATGTGCCAATTGATCTGGACTTTTGATTTGCGAAAAGAATTACAAAATTATCAGACCATTGCCTCCCATTAGAAATTCATAAGCGTGTGCTTGCACTCATTGAATACAAATCTAATTATATCACACTCACCTGGGTTACCAATGTTGATTGGCCCAGTGTTATCCCCTTCCATGAGACGGATAAGTCCATCAACCTTCAAAGTATTTAAGACGAGGGGGGAGAAAGCATTAGGAGCAAACTCATAAAGCAATAATGACCATGATAGCAGTTCATTGACATACCATATCAGAGACATAACAGAAACTGCGAGTCTGTGTCCCGGGAGCTTGAACAGTTAATGGTTCATCCCTTTAAAACGGAGAAAATCAGGAATATTAGTTGAAAAGATTGGTATAATTAGGCGGGATATGGATCAACAGAGAGAAATTGGTGATTGAATATGCAAAATGATAGAACAAAAGCAAAAGAAATTGTTACAGTTGACAAAGCTACTAACAATCATCACAAATGGACTAAGAAACAATGGCCTACCTTGGAAATCACGGTCAACGTATCATTAAGCACATAGCTACATTTGTATATTCAGAGTGATGGCAATCGAGAAAGAACTTACCGAAGTGATTGAGCTATAAAGTTGCTGACTACACGCCCATCGTCAATATTCATACGAGGTCCGTAAGTGTTGAATATTCTAGCAATGCGTATTTCTGTTGCAAAATGCATAGATATCATCAATGCATCAGGAACAATGAAGTTGTGGACAACCTGAACAATATCAAAGGAACTAAAAATTACCAATCCCATGCTGTCGGTGGTAGTCAAACATCAATGTCTCGGCCACACGCTTCCCCTCATCGTAACAGCTCCGAACTCCTAAATACGACAAAAGTGACATTGTTAGGCATATGCTTCACGAGATGCTCAAATGTTGACTTAATAACTCATCAGATCAAAATTGTTGTTTCATTCTAGTTTTCAACTCCTTTCTCCTCTTACTTTAATACTATTCGCTTAAATACTTTATGTAAAAGAATCTTCTTGTGATCAACACGATTGAGTGATCCAAGTAGGCTAAAAGAGAATAGCGAAACTTTAATAGTTGAATCCCCAAATGGAATTCTGTATTGTCGTACAAGTTGGTGCAGATGTAAACAAATGATTAACACTCACAAAACAACATATAATATGGTGCTAGTGGACATTAGTCGAAACAAATATTGGAGTTCATGAAATTCAAAAAGTGAGAGGACGTACCAATTGGGTTAACATTACCCCAATAGCTCTCGGGTTGGGGATGCACAAGAGGATCACCGTAAACCTCTGAGGTTGACGTGAGCAGAATCCTGCATAAAATTGCAGAAAATGAGTAAATTGAAAGCCAAAAAGATGAGGTCAAGAAGCATTTAAAATCTTCTAACCTTGCTCCAACACGCTTTGCTAAGCCCAACATATTCAGCGTACCAATAACATTAGTCTTTATAGTCTGTCAAAAGAAGAAATTAACGGAAATTCTCATATTAGGGGATTTGGGGAAACAACAGAAAATCAGGTAAATCAGAGAGCTTATGCAAATAAGTTATGAATAGAAATCACGATTCACTAAAAGCTAAGATCATACATACCTTAACAGCATTGTACTTGTAGAAAATTGGAGAAGCAGGGCATGCGAGATGATAAATCTTATCAACTTCAACCAACAAGGGCTCTGTCACATCTACAAATGATAAACATATAACAGAAACAGTTACGCTTCTGATAATACAGTTATATGTAACAACATTCGAGTGTTGATTCAACTGTTAGAACTACTAGAGAATTGGGAGGTCAGAGTAGACAACTATGATCAAACACTTGCATATGATGTTAGCTCTTCTACCTTCACCAGATTGCAGCTAAAAGATACCAAACTAAATTCTACTAATCAAGTCCATATTAGAACTCGGTAGCCTTCAATTTTCATTAAACGAAACCATTACTTTACATAAAGATAAGATTTTTCTAGCTTATTGTAGCAGAGTCAAGCCTGTATTCCCCTCGACCACATGTTGAATACTCACAGGAAGTAGTCCATATATTAGCTAACAAGTATGTAAATGAAGAAAAAATGAGAGTATACCGTGGCGCCTAAGCTCAAATCTGGGATGACCAATCCATTTTTTCAGATTATCCTTCGAACCAGTGAAAAAGTTGTCCACAACAATAACCTGCACAATCATAAAGAAAAAGTTTCTCAATTCTTAATAAGGGCATCATTCTATTAACTGGTTTATCTTACTCTATTACGCATTCACTCGGAAGACTCATGAAAACAGCAGAAGTATTTACTTACACATAATAAGCCTATGCTGGGATAAGGAATAAATAACATGATTATAAAATCTTTTTGGCAAGGCAACACAAAAAGCTAGAAGATACTGATAGATGATTTCAAGACCGAACAAGTTACCTCATTCTTCTCATTCTCCATCAATTTGTCGACTAGGTGAGAACCAATGAATCCAGCTCCTCCAGTAACCAAAATTCTCATGTTAGGCTGCAACCAAGAATAAAATGTTTTAGCAAACGGGCATTAAGGATTATAACTTAGTAATAGTTAGAGCAGGCCAAACATAGCATATGTGGTTTAACTATGAAATAACAGTGTTTGAACAATCAGAAGTTTACAGTATTGTGACTATTGGTACTCACTATTGCCGTGAGTACCAACTTGTTAACTGTATTTTCATCAGAAAAGAAGCTGTACTACTAGGATTAGGCCAAATGGACAATTTTTTACTCGTAAATCAGAATCACCAGAGCAATATCAATTTCCTATCTCTAGGTCAAGTACACTGATCTTTCGTTTTCGCAGATAAGCTGATATCAAATCCACACTCGTTCTTTATTGATTCATAGCTAATCAAATCTACACATAAATATCAACTCCTGATTTTAAGACTAAAAATAGTTTGTTTGATTGGTGATGCTGGAGCAACATTGATAAACGACCATATGGTCTATATACTCTATACCACATATCTTCTTCTTGGGGGGGAGGATTGGATTTAAAGGTTTACAATGTGGGAAATCGAACCCTAACCAAGTAGCCAACCACTACAATTTACCTATATCACATATCAAAAACAATTAAACAAATAAAGTTGTTGTCAAGCCTATGACAACTGAACTCAGTATCTTCAACACAAAGAGTAAACATATATATGAGAAAAATTACTAAAATTCCGACAAATATCAATTCAATGGTAAAAACTTAAAAGGTTGAACTCATCAAGTTTAAATTCTGAATCCGCATCTGCACTAGTTTTACCTGAAAGAACTTTGAGAAGCGCAGCGGGGATGGCGCTGGAGGTGGCTTAGTTGTTGTTTGGTGATCTCCATTCGCAGAATTGCTAGCCATTGCTCAAAATTCAAATCCCTCACAAAAAATCCTACAATCAAATAATTGATCAATTGGTATATAAACTTGAACTTGGTCTAGCATTAGATCACAATCAAAACCTTCTTAATCAATTATTCTAAATCAAAAATCAATCAAAACCTTCTAAATCAAATATTCTAACATCAATCTCAATCAAAATCAGTAAAAATCAATCAAATTAAACAAAACACATAAACCTTAATCCAATAAAATCATGTTATATGCCAATTCATAAAACATACCTTATGCAAAAAAACACTTTTTTTTGTTCTGCAAGTTCTGTGACATAGGCATGCAAAATATATATACACACATAAACACAAAAAAATAAAATAAAATAATAATAATAATTTACTTGCCAACAATAAATTGAAATAAGAATGCTTATAATTGACGAAACGTAAAGGTGAAAGAATAAGAGCACCAAACCTTTAGAATATTGTTTTCCACTTGATTTTCAACAAAGTCAAAGCAAAAGTAAAAGAATTTGTTACTTATATTTATTCTTATTATTACCTTGGATGGGATTTTTCTAATCTCCAAGAATTAAGGCTATTAATTATGTGCGATGATAGTGGAAAATAATACTTTTTTATTTTTTAATATTTAATTTAAGTGGAATAAGAAGATTAGGAGAAAGAAGACTAGATAATCGTACATGGGTTTGGTCTTTATTTTTTGTTTGTTTTTATTGACTTCGTGTAGTTCGAGTAGGACTCTGGATCAAGGATAATTTGGACTTTTAACCTTGATTTTTGGACATAAAATATACTATTATTCTTTTTATATGTTATATCTTTAGATTGTTGCATTAAGAAATTAAGTAATTTTATCCTTCTACCCATATTTAATGTTTTCTTAAGTCAACTTTTCAATAGAATATGCTAGATTTCAAAAATTAAAATGTATTTGTATGACTATTTAAATTTTTGAATTTATTTTCAAAATCAGATTTTATAGAATAGTGAATGGAGAGAGTAATTAATCAATGTATGAACTACTCCAATGAATATTAATTACTTATTAGTTTTTCTAAGTTGGTCAAAGTATATATTTTCAAGACTAATTAACTACTCTATCAAGGGTATAATAGAAACAAAATATAGTAATTTATGTATTGATTTTATGAAATGACAAATATTGTGGTCCAACTTATAATAGAAAGGGATGGCATATAAAAAGGAACGGAGGGAATAGTTGTTAGTTGTTACTTCCTCTGTCCAAAATTAATTGTCCGTTACTTTGCAAAGCTCTTAAAAACTATAAATAGAAGAGTAGTTTTACTAGAATGAATACAATGTTTTGAAAAATGTAATCGATAAATGACTATAATTAATGACAAGGGTAAGTGTAAAATTAACCATTGATTTCATAAAGTGGACAAGAATTGTTGGACATCCAAAATAGTATAGTGGACAAATATTGTTGGATAGAGGGAGTATTATTTTAGGTTTCACGTCTCCTAAGAAACTATGTGAATTTACCATTATACCCTTATTTAGTTTCTTTTGAAGTCAAGTTTTCAATAAATGAACATTATTAAAAAAATTGACTAATAAACATGAATAAATAACTTAGCTTTCTTATGCCGGTCAAATTCATACTTTCAAAGCTAATAACTCTAAAGGGTAAAATAGGAAGAATAGTGTCATTTATGCATTGATTTGTGAAATGACAAGTATTAAGAAACATCTATTTTTAGTAAGAACGACATATAAATAAAAAATGGCGGAATATAACTTTGTTAGTAATGCAATTTCTCTTCTAAAAAACATAAAACTTCAATAAAGGAAGGCAAATATAGAAATTAAATATTTCAAACATCCATATTGAACGTTCAACAATAAAATTATTTTGAACAGTAAAATAGCCTCAAATTCACTTAATATGAAATAAAGAAAGTACTAGTTTGAAGTTTCAGTTTACGTGATACAATTTGAACAGAGTCAAAACTACAATTTGACCATAAATTTGTTTTTGTTGACTGGCTCAGGGGTAACTAGGACTTTTATGATTGATTTTTGGACATAAATTATACTTACTCTATCTCAATTTATTTTTGTTTGACCGTAAATTTGAATTTAGAATCTTTGAGTTTTTTAAAATAAAATTTATATATTTACAATAATTGACAATATTTAAAAGATATATGAAAAAATTGAGATAATTTTTTATTATTTGAATCTTGAAATTTAAAAGGTTCCACATAAATTGAAACGTAGAAAATGTAATATTTTTTAAAAAATAATATTTATTTTTTTGAAAAATATATATTAAAAAATGAAATTGTGTTTGGATATATATTTAGTTTATAAGAAAAATAGAAGTTTTATGAGGGGAGACAATAATTTAGATTGGTCCAATTGCTTTTTCAAACATTAAAATATCCTTTAAGAATTTCTTCAAGAAATCAATTCGTATAATCAAACGCCATTTCAACTTTTTTTGTTAGAAAAAAAAAAGATTCATGGACAAACCAACTCCTTTTTTTTTTTTTGGATCATTGCATAAAACAATTTTAAAAAAAAAATTATTATTGTGGTAATGAGGTGACAGTCGAGTGAAAAAAGTTTTTAAAATTAAAATTGAAATATCTTTAGTTAAATTAAATACCTAGAATTTTAATTGATTGTTTTAAGTAATTGATCGTTTCCATCGTTATTGTAAATTATTCAAAATTAGGAATATTTGAAATAAACGTGTAATATGTTCATATAAGGAAATTTTATTCTATTACATTATGAACTCTTTAGTAAACGTCATTGGTGTAGGACAAGTAATCCTGATTATTAGTTTTCTAATTTTCTATTATCCTAGATATTTTATTTTATTTGGTTGTGTTGTGGCTCTAATTTAGGACTCTTATCATAATTGAGAGTATGCTAATTTATCTTAATTAAAATTTAAAATCCTTACATAGTTTAGGATCTCGATTTGATTTTATTTGATTTTAAGTGCTCGATATTTACGGTCAAATATAATTTCGGTAATTTTATGAATTATTTTTTTGTCTAATAATAGTTGTCTACGATTGACTTGACACGGAGATTAATTTTTACCAAGTCACCCTTATTAGATATAAGTCATCTAAAACATTGAAAAATGAATAGTATTTAATAACAAGGATAAAATAGTAAATTATTCATTAGTTTTATAAATTTGACAAGTATTGTTACGCATTTCAAAATAATATTGTGGACAAGTAAAGATGGACTAAACTCCCTTGCGTTACTAAAAATAACTAAAAACTATTTTGAACATGTAGTTAGAAATAGGAATTTCACCTGTGTCGTTGTAAATGTTTTTTAAAATTATTATTTTTATTAGGGAAAAAGGATAAATATACCTCCGAACTATCGTAAATGGTATGCAGATACCCTCCGTCATACTTTTGGGACATTGGTGCTCCTGCCGTCCAAAAACTAGAGCATATATGCCCTTCACTCTAACGGAAGACTAAATAGAGACACACGGCGCAATCTTATCCGTCAATTCGATATTTAATAAATGTCGGGTAGATGGATAAGATTATGACACGTGTATGTCCGTTAGTATAAAGGATATATATGCTCTAGTTTTTGAACGACAGGAGAACCAATGTCTCAAAAGTATGACAAAGGATATCTGCATACCGTTTACGATAGTTCAAGAGTAAATTTATCCTTTTTCCCTTTTTATTATCATGAAAATAATATTATATTTCTCTGGAAGTTTAGTTATCTCATCCTCAAAAGTTTGAAGAAGAGTTATTCAATGCCTTGTAGCTTTATAATCTTTTGAGTATCCATTAAAAGTGGTTGTGATAACTAAAAATGAGTAACAATGACTTACGATGAATTTATATAGTTAATCCCGATTTATTTATGATATAATTATTTGTAACTATTATTATTATTATTATATTTTATTATAGATGACATTCATGAAATAACATAAATTGAACTGACGATTCCACAATTGAACCACTTGTGTGTAGTATTTATGTCGTATTTTATTCTTTAATTTTTACCATTACTAGTTATTTTATTTACAATCACTACAACGAAAGAGAATCTAGTGGTAATATATTTTTTAGCGGTAATTGATCGAGTTAATATCATTATATTCAGAGTTACGAAAGTTATTATTGATATTTATATAAAATTTTGGTTATAAATACTCATATTGTATTTGTCACTAAATATAATTTACTGACAATTATATTATTAGTATAAAATCATTTATTTGTTGTAATAGCTATTTATCTTACTATTTTGTTGTTTTTATTTTTCATTCAATCTTAATGCAATTACACTTCTTTTTAGTCGAGGCTCTATCAGAAACTATCTCTTTATCTCATAAAAATAAAAATAAGATTTACATATATTCTACCCTTTCTGTAGATGAAATCACACTTAATATTTTATTTTTATTTCCATGAGTACATATGACTTATGAGAGGTGTTCAAATGAAGCAATAAATAAATAAATAAAAGGCGTAAATTGCACTCCTAGGATTTATAGTGATAGTTAGGAATAAGAAGCGTGGGTTTTAAGTATATAATGTATAGTTTGAGTTTTTTTTTAAAACAAAAAAACTTAAAGTTTGGTGAAATTAAAATATTTTTTTATTACTTTATGGCAAATATTGACTACTGACTCTATTATTAATTTAATTTAATTTTGTAACTAACACGAGCGAATTCTAAATAATATAAGAAACACAAGTAAATTATAGTTTAATTTAGTCATAGTATAACATGTTTGTTAGATAATCATGGACATATATAACAACAATAGATTAATGAAATAGGACACGCTAAATTAGTTCTTCATAATTAAATTAATTCTGGACTAGGTGGAAAGATTAGTTTAATTAAGATTCCATTGTTGTTATTAATCTTATAATTAGAATATGTGCTAATTTACCTAAACATGGCATTAATATTGAATTAGGTCACATCAACTACTCTACACATGGCATATTAAAAAAATATCGTATAATTACCAGCCTATTTGTTTAATACAAGTTG